GCGGGCAGAAACTCGCGCCCACCACCCGGGCGAAAGAACCAAACGCGGAGAAGTGCGTTCGCGGCGGCGGAGCGGCGGAGGCGAACGGCGGGCCGAATGCGAGCCGCATCCGCCGCGCGCGCGCTCGACGATGGCCGCGGCGGGGGCCGCGCCTGCGCGCGACTGCGCCGGGCGATCGGCCGATGCCCCCTCGGGAGACGCAGGCGAAGTCTGGGCCGCGGCGCGCGGGCTGTCCTTCCCGCGAAAGGTTTTCAAAGAGTGACTGGGGCTTGCAGCGTCAGGATGGGCGATGCTCGGGGCACCTGCCTGCGCGGCGCCAGCGCGGACCGCCGGTTTCGCGCCCGTCGCAGCGCAACCTCGGGGCGCAGCTCCCGGGGCCATCCAGCGGCCACAACCAACTTAAATCAAGCGTCGCGACGCGTCTGGCGCATGCGCGTGAGTTTGCCCCCGCAGCCGTCGCAGCGCATAACGCAGCTGTGAGCATCGCGCAAGAATGCGATGAAGGTGGCTGCCCACAGAGGACATCCCGGCGTCTCCAACGTGGCGACGAGGGGGCAGCCTGGAGCCCACGGAGGACATCCCGGCGACCGCCCGACGAGGAGCAGGCGCAAGAACGTGTCCTGGACCACCGCCCCGAACAGGCTGAGGGGCATGGAACCATTGAGCTTGTTGCTGTAGCTGACGTCTCCTGTTGTTCGGTTTGCTCCGATTATCATCGCCATGTGCGCCGCCCAGGCTGGTGGCGGGATTGCTCGACGCATCGCCGCCCTTCCGCTCGCGGTCGGCGCCGTCGTCGCCGCGCGGCCGTCTCCGGGAGATTGGCTTGGCGAACCTGGCGCCTCTGGGCCCCGGGCCGCGCGCTTCGCAGTGGCGGGGGCCCTCGTGGCCCCGCAGGCCCACGGGCGCACTGCGCCCTGCAGAGGTGAAGCCGTCGATCAACAAAGAAGGAGCACTTTGGCGTGCACGCGCGTGAACAGACCCGCAGACATACTGCGGCATCGACGCGTGCAGCGCGCGCGCGACGAAGCACGAACGGTTGGCCCATGCATTGTCGAACGGTCTCCTTTCTATACGACGCCCGTCTAGGCCTGCTGGTCGGGCAGGCGGAGGGTCGAGCAGCAAGCCAGGGGCAGCGTCTGCAGGATACTCACGATGGCGGCGCAGGACGTCCGGCACGGCGGTCGCCCGCTCCAGGTCTTCCAGCGCAGCCAAAAAACGACGCTGGACATCGGCTTCCAATTCCCAGTCTTGGCCGAGCGCCGCCGTTGCCCCGCTGTGCGTCCGGCAACGTGCGTTATCAAAGCATCCATGGTCACGATCCCCGCCTGCCGGAGGCGCCCCGGAGGCGCCGCAAGTTGATGCTGCGCCAACCAAAGGCGACAGAGGCCCCTCCAGGACCATGACCCCCTCGCTGCCCTTCGAGTTCGGGGCGCCCCCCGTTGATCAGCAGCGGCCGCTCCGCGCGCGTCGGCAGCAGCGGCGGCCGGCCGCTCCCCGCAGGCCCCCCCGGAGCCCAATAAGGACATCTTGGTGGCCGCGAGCGCCGGCCTGCGCGCCAGGCCGAGGGGGGCGCGACGGCGCCGCGAGGCCGACGCGCGCGCCCGCCCCGGCCGCGCCCGAAGCCCCCTGGTGATGGGCGCTCGAGCCAGAGCGACTTGAGCCAGACTTGCAGAGAATTGAGCCGGATGGATAGCTACGGCACAACACGCAACACACGCACACGCACGCACGCACGCACGCACGCACGCACGCCTGCACGCACACACACACACACACGCACACACACACATACACACATACACACACACACGCACGCACGCACGCACGCACGCACGCGCGCACGCACACCCGCACACCCACACGCCCACACACCCACACACCCACACGCCCACACACCCACACACCCACGCACCCACACACCCACACACCCACACACCCACACACCCACACACCCACACACCCACACACCCACACACCCACACACACACACCCACACACACACACACACACACACACACACACGCGCGCGCGCATGCACACGCGCGCACACCTCACACGCACACACATTCCCAGTCGCATTTTTTAATGCCCGGACCACCCCCCGCACCCCCATCCGGACCCCCACCCCCAGGGACACCCCGGACGTCCTTTCGGGCGTCTCGGTGGCCCCCTGGGCGCCCTTGGAAAAGACCCGCGGGCCCTTCCGGGCCTCCCAGGGCGCCCTGCCGGGCCTTGCGAGCAGACTCAGGGCGATCGGAGGGGTCATCGCAGAGGCGCAAGAGAGACCCGAGACAGCGCGAGAGCGCTCCAAGAGGAACCTCGACTGTCTGAAGACGGCCCCAGAGGCCCCCAAGACGCCCCAAGGGGTCGTTAAGAGAGCCCCGAAGCAGCAAATGCTGCCCATTCCCGTAGGAAAATGCACATGTTCAGCATATCCGCTTTTTGTTGACTCTTCGCAGCGTCCAAGACGGCCGATAGGCCCCCGATATCGCCCCAAGACGGCCCAGGAGGCCCCCCAGAGGGCTTGAAGACGGCCCGAGAGGGCCCCAAGAGCGCCCCGGAGAGCCCCGAGACTGCCCACAAGAAGTCCAAGATGCCCCCAGAAGGCTTCCAAGAGAGACCCACGAAAGCCACGGGAGACCCCCGAGAAGGCCATTGGAGGCCGCCAAGAGGGCCCCAGATGGCTTCAGAAGGCCTCTGGAGGGCCCCAGCTCCCCAAAACGGCCCAGGAAGGCCCCGGGGCGGCCCGAGAGGGCCCCGGGGCGGCCCAAAGAACCCCGAGAACGCCCAGACGGTGTTTTCCTACGGAGTACATGAGCTGACCCGACGATTTTGATTCCGCGCTTGAGGCTCGAGGTTTAAGCTCCTCGATCGAGAGACACAGGCAATGGATTTAGATTCGAAGTTCGACGATCGAAGATTTCATCGGTGCCAGGGCCCCCCCCAGGCACGCAGGAAGCGACCGAACATCGATTTGCTCCGAGCTACTGCGACTTTTTCGGCGCGCCATGAAAGCGCCCCTTACTTCCTCAAAGGACCTTCGCGCGTGAAAAAGTCATCCCTCCTTGCCCGCTCCAACGCACAAGCGCGCGAGCGCATTGGGCGAACGCGGTGTCAGCAGGCGCCGGGATTATCAGAAAAATGCGCCAGTCGCCCGCCCAGGGTTCGAGGCCCCCCCCGCTGAAGCAAGCGATGATTTATTGTCTTGCTGGGGGGGGGGGGGCGGGGGAGGGGTCCGGAACAAGGCGCATGGCTCGAAGCGCCAATGCAGTCTTATATATACAAACATACATATATATGCATATATATATAGATATACATATATAGGTATATACATATATATATATATATATATATATGCAGATACACATATATATGTATATATGTGTGTGCGCAAAAGACTTGACGGCTCGCTTCGCTTCGCCTCGAATCTTAGTCCTGCGCCCCAGCATTGCCGGGCGGTTGCCGACGATCACGTCGGCGCGGAAAGATCATGGCCGCGATGGGAGGTGCTGGTCATTGGCTCGATGGAACACGTCGGCATTTTCACGTCACGAGGGAAGGGGGGGCTGCCGCCAGGGCGAAGGTGAGGAGCTCGATCGGGGGTGTGCCATCGCCCCAATTGGGGCGACGACTACGAGGCCGATGGGGGCGTGCGTTGTGGCCGCCAGCGGCGTCAAGGTCATGGCCCAGCGGGGCCTCGACTGGGGCCGCGACGCCGACGGTTCAGAACAGCAGTCGGTAAGATGAGCGCGAGGGCGGCGAAGACCACGATTCGAGAGGGGTAACAATCGCAACGCGCGTTGATGGAGGTTGGCACCATCGCTGCGGCGCGGGGCTCAAATCACGATCGCAGAAGGGCCGTCGGGAATTGGGGGGCCACGGTGATAACCAAATAGGGGCGAGGGTGCTACCCGCGAGTGGGTTCTTGGTCGCGATGGCGAGGGCGCGGAGGTCACGCGGGATCCGCGGAAGTGCTCGCGCGCCCGACGATTCGCGTTGATCGAATCGCTGGCCTCCAGATCTTCGGCTTCTGCCCCCCGCCCCCTCGCCGTCCGCGCTCGCGCGGGCAGTGCGATGCAGCGAGGCGTCCGGAGAAGGAGGAGCAGGTGGGCCTGTTGGGGCGGGTTGGGGGCTCCACTCATCATCTCGGGGCCCTCCTGGGCCGCATTCGGGTCCTCGGGGGTAGTTCGGGGGCCGTCTTGGGCCGTCTCGGTGCTCTCTTGGGCCGTCTCGGGGCCGTCTCTGAAGCTTATTGGGCCGCGTTGGAGCCGCCGTCGGCCATCTCGGCGCCGTCTCGGAAACTCCTCATGCCGTCTTGGCGCGATTTCGGAAGCTCGCGGGGCCTTCGTGGCGCATGGGGTACCAGAAAAAACGAATGCGTTGAAATTCATCAAGAACCCGGGGGGGGTCATGATTCCTACATGGGTTTTTGCTGATTCCTAAGGATTCCCTGATGATCCCGAAGGAATTCTGGAAAATCCTTTGGAATTCATACGACCGCTTGCCGATTAGGGCCCTTCAGTGTTCCTGAGGATTCATAAGGAAGCCTGAGGATGCCTGAGGGTTCCTGCCAAGGAGTTCCTTACAAGCTGCCAAGGATCTCTCTAGAAACTGCCGACGAGCTCGTCGGACGCTTCCAAGGAGCTCCTCAGAAGCTGCCGAGGAGCTCATTGAGAGCACCACAGAAGCTGCCGATGAGCTTTTGTGAAGCAGTGAAGCTGCCGAGGAGCTCCTTTGAAGCATCTGAAGTTTCTGTATCAGTTCACCGGGGAATGGGCCAGTTTATAACGGAAACTATTCGGTCCCTATTTAAGGGGGTTTTCTTGCTTTTGGTATTGTCACGCGACCGACCCAACTAGCGCACAAGAGCGTCCAAGAGATCTGGGACTTTGGGCTGTGTGCCCTTCTTATAGAAGATTGGCAGTGACCTGTGGACAGTCCACCTCGTACCTAAGGCCACGGTGGTGGATGTTGATGCTGTTTGTGCTCTTCGAGAGGAGGTGGCCTATCCCTTCGGCCACGGTCTGAGCTACACAACCTTCGAGTACAGCGCCGTCGAGGGCCCGTCACAGCCTGACGAGGACGGCAGGAGAGCGCTTTTTTGTAGAAAATAGCGGCGTTACCGGGGAGGGGACGGGGGGCGAGGCGAGGGGGCCATGAACGTCACAATTCTCGCCGGCGCCGTTTGGGAATTCGCTGCCCGTTGCAATTCCAAGCAGCGCTGGCGCGAGCCATGACGTTACCAGGTGGGGGGGGAGCACCCCTGGTAACGGTGCCAGGAAGCCACCCCGCGAGAGGAGAAAATGAAACTCCAGGAGGCAGTTGGAGCCAGGAGGCTTCAAGACGACCCAGATGCCTCCAGAGGCCACATGAGGTCTGAGGATGCTCCAGGAGGCCACCCCGCGAGGGCCCAGAGGGTTCCAGGTGGCCACAAGCTCCTGGTCGATCCGACTGGGGGGGGGGGGAAGATGCCCCCGCTGGCGATGCCCCACTTGCAGGACGAGCGCGCGGGCACCAAGCCCCTCCTCTCCAGGCGTCCCCTCAGACCCCAGACGTCCGACGCATTGGACAAATTCGGCTGCGAGCCCAGGGTCGGCGGCGAGCCCTGGGGAAGAGGTCGGAAGGGGCGGGCCTTCTCAGAGGGCTCGGAAGTTCCTCAGCCTTCTGGGGAGTCTTCTGCGCCTTCCCCGAAGACACAGAAAACTCCTCAGAAGGCGCGAGGGTTTTGAGAAATCCCGCGGGGGGGAGCCAGAGGGGGGGAGCATCCCAGGTGCCGGCCGTCACATCGCGAAGCGTGCAAAAATCCACGCGCTCCAGGCGGAGGCTGTCCGTCCAAGTGCGGAACACGGGCCGCGTGGACGGCTCCGAGGTGGTGCAGCTGTACCTCGACTTCCCGCCAGAGGCAGGGATGCCGAGGCTCGCGAACAAGAAAGTCTCCTGGCGAAAGGCCCATCCATAGGAGCGCTGTCCGAAATCTCGGCCAAGGCTTAAAACCAAGTTGGGGATGCCGCGGTCGGCGTTTTTGGGGAGCGCGCCGATTACGGCCAGATCTGGCGGAGGAGGAGGAGGAGGAGGAGGAGGAGGAGGAGGAGGAGTTGGAGGGGGGCCCTGGAGGGGCACCAAAGCATCGTGTTCCCCGCGGTCGCCCCTGCGAGTGCGTACAGGAGGGCAAGTGATACGAACGATGTGACGGCCCAACCATATGAGGCACCCAACCATATGAGGCATACAAGAAGACACGGCGTCTTCTTCGAGGATCGAAGGAGTTGATATCTCTTCGGGGGAGGTTATCACTTCCGTCACTTCTTCCGCCGAGTAAGAGACACTTTATCGGCGGAAGGCGGCGGAAGCAAAACAGGGGTGACTCCACTGGCAGAAGGCCGGCCCAGGCTGGCGGAAGAATTTGCCTGACGAAGGACCCAACCATATGCAGGTGTGAATACCGCAATTGTGATTCACTTTTTCGGTGGTGATCCCTATGAGGCAACGAACCGTGCTAGGGGTGTGCTGAAATGAGTGGCGTGGTACATAACGCGAGCGAAAACGATTGATCTGAGTACGTAGGGAGACTGAACGCGGGTGAATCTGCGCGCGAGTGCGTCTGAGTGTGAGTGAATCTGCGTGCGAGCGAGTCGACGTGCATGAATGCGAATATGACAGAGCATGGTGTAATTGTATACGAATGTCAATAGTTTGAGAATGACTGCCTCTGAGTACTCGTGACGCTGGGCGTGGCCGCCGCGAGGAGCTTCCCCGGGACTCCCCGGCGGCATCGCCCGCGCGCCGCGACGCCAATGTCAGCGCGCCCCCCCGCGAGGATCGCGCCCGCTTCCTTCCCTTTTTTACCTAACAGCGAAGACTGATAGGTTTCTAATAGGGTCAAAAGAGAGCATCATGACTCCCCAGGGGGGTCTGGGCGGCATCCGGGGGAAAGCCGGCGGCTGCCGTCGGAGCCCAAATCGCTTGGGACATCCTCGCAAAATCGCTCTTGGCGGTCCCAGCGCTCCACTCCCGGGCTACCTTTTGGATGCCCGGCGCCAACTGTGCTCCCAGAGCTCCATTCCCGGCCCACATTTTGTATGCCAGGAGCCAACTGTGGGCCACTTCGTGTTCTCCGGGCCACATTTTGGATGCCCGGAGTCAACTGTAGGCCACTTCGTGTTCTTGGACTGCTTAGAACCCCATTCCCGGGCTCTATTTTGGATGCCCGGAGCCCACTGTAGGTCATCTCGTGTTCTTCGTCCTTTTACTGGCAACCTACTTTTCCTCTGCCTCTGATAGCCGCGGTTGGTTCAAAACGCTCCTGCCTCGTGGCCTTCGCCGGCGGCATTGCAATGGCACTCGCCTCGCCGCAACACTCGTCAGCAGCCTCGGCTTCTCGCGGTGCTTCTCAGCCAGCGAGGGCAGACCGAGACGCGTCGGCGGCCAGTGCTTCGTTTGGACCTGCATCCATTGATAGCAGTGTCTCGTTTAGACCTCGATGCATTTATACAAAGGTCTCATTTGGAGATACAATTATCGAAAGCAGTGAGTCGTTCGAAGTACATCCGTTGATAGCAGTGTCTCGTTTGGAGCTAAATCTATTGAGAGCAGGGTCTCGTTTGGAGATACAGTTTTCGAAAGCAGTGAGTGCTTCGAATCTACATGCATTCATAGAAGTGTCTCTTTCGGAGATAAATGCCTTGATCGCAGTGCGTCGTTTGGGGCGCAATCCATGATGGCACTGTCTTGTTTGGAGATACAGCTTTCGAAAGCTGTGAGTCGTTTGAAGCTAAATCCATTGATCGCAGTGTCTCGTTTGGAGATGGGCTAGTTGATAGCAGTGTCTCGTTTGTACTACTCTTGCTATTCGTGTTACTACTTCTACTCCTATTGCTCCCATTACTACTACTCGTTCACTACAACCGCTACAACTACCACTTCACTCCTACCACTACTACCACCACTACTAGTTCTACTACTACTATTACTGTTACTCTGACTGCTGCTGCTGCTGTTGCTGCTGCTGGTTTGGAAATCGCTACTGCAACTACTGGCAGTGCCACTGCGACTGCGACTGCGACTGCGACTGACGTTGCCACTGCGACTGCCATTGCGAATGCGAATGCGACTGCCAGAACACCAGAATTCTACAACAGGACTCCTACATAACTATCAAAGGCAATGCTCCCAGCTATACTTCTACACATCGCTGTTCGGTTGCTTTGCCGGGATAATTTACTCCCTCCTTGCCCGCGCGCTCAAAAGTCCAAGGCTGCGGGCGCAGCGCAGCGCGGAGTCCCCGCGACGCGCGCAGGTCGCCACGGAGGGGTCCCAGCGACGCGCGCGGGTCGTCCGCTGCGCGGAGCAAAGACAGCTAGCTGGCTGGTTGATAGCGGGCAAGGCTCTTGCCGCTGGGCAAAGCGACGACGGGCGAGCGAGGCGCGGAATTGCGATGGCCTCCGACGAAGGTGTACTGGGTGGGGGAGACGCATGCGGACTGCGCCACAGGGACCTTCGGTGGGGCTCCAGATGGGGCCACGACGCGCTGTACTGGGCGGGGGAACGCATGCGGACTGCGCCACGGGGGCCTTCGGTGGAGCTCCATATGGGGCCACGAAACGCCTTACTGGGTGGGGGAGACGCATGCGGACTGCGCCACGGGGACCTTCGGTGGCGCTCCATATGGGGCCACGACACGCTGTACTGGGTGGGGGAGACGCATGCGGATTGCGCCACGGGGACCTTCGGTGGCGCTCCATATGGGGCCACGACACGCTGTACTGGGTGGGGGAGACGCATGCGGATTGCGCCACGGGGACCTTCGGTGGCGCTCCATATGGGGCCACGACACGCTGTACTGGGTGGGGGAGACGCATGCGGATTGCGCCACGGGGACCTTCGGTGGCGCTCCATATGGGGCCACGACACGCTGTACTGGGTGGGGGAGACGCATGCGGATTGCGCCACGGGGACCTTCGGTGGAGCCCCTACGGGGCCGCGAAGCGATGTACAGGGTGGGGGGGACGCATGCGGACTGCGCCACGGGGGCCTTCGGTGGAGCTCCATATGGGGCCACGAAGCGCTGCACTGGGTGAGGGAAACGCATGCGGATTGCGCCACGGGGACCTTCGGTGGAACCCCTATGGGGCCACGAAGCGCTGTACTGGGTGGGGGAGACGCATGCGGACTGTGCCACGGGGACTTTTGGTGGCGTTCCCCGTGGGGCCACGAAGCGCTGTCCGGGGGGGGTGATGATGCGGATGTTGATGATGATGATGATGACGACGATGACGACGATGATGATGATGACGACGATGATGACGATGATGATGATGACGATGATGATGATGATGATGATGATGATAATGATGATGATGGTGATGATGATGATGATGATGATGATGATGATGAGAGGAGGGGGAGGAGGGAGGAGGAAGGAGGAACGCGGGGACCGTCTCTTTAAAACGAGGGCCCAACAACACAGGTTGGTTGGGAAAAACAGATTTTTGGTGCTATATCAATATTATAGGGTTTTTTTTGGAGCCTGCCATATGCAGCTGCGAGTACAGCAAGGCCAGTGATACAAGAGGTGTAAGTGAATCGTGTGAGGGGTGTGCCAGACTCCCGAGGTGGTGGCTTGCGGACTTAGCCGCTGGGTCCTTCGGTGAAGCTTCTTATGGGGCCACGAAACGTGTGAGGGGATGCCGAGACTCGAAGAAGAGTTTTCACCACAGACATCAGCTTTCGGAGTTCCGCTCGGGATTCTGTGATCGGCGTTGGGCCCCCGTGGCGCGCGGAACGCGATTCAAGAAGTTTGCGAAGCAGTTGAGGATAAGAGTGAAGGGGCGGCATGGTCGTCGCCTGTTTGCGAGTCTCTGAAGAAGCCTGCCGCAGGCGCCTTGCCGAATTCTCGTCAAAACACTGCGGGTGGGTCGCTGGTGGGCCGCGGGTGTGTCGCGGGGTGGGTGGGTTGCGAGTGGGCCGCAGGCGAGGACGACGACAAGAACATCATGTTTGTTTCAAGCTGGTTCGTTCTTATTTGCCCTCGTGACATTCATCATGTATATCCCAAGCCCTCCCTCTTCGATCGTACCCCCTTGGGGGTCTGCCACATGTATTTGGCTCAGCGCCTAAGGCAAGGTAAGGGAGGGAGGAGGGAAGGGACAAGGGAGGGGGACGGAAAAGGATGGAGGACGAGAGAGATGGGCATGGGGGCGTTTTTTTGTTTTTGTAAAAAGAAAATCGGCAGAACCAGACGGCCAGGTCGAGTGGGCGGGTCGCTGAAGCATTAGTCCTGCGTGGATCGCGAGGACTTCTCGAGCGATGGCACGACTCGCGATTCCCAAGGAAATCGTTCGGGTTGAGCGAGCCCAATGTGTTATTAGGGGGGGATCGGGTTTTGAGCTGATTTCATTTCCCTTTAATTCCCTTCCCCTTAATTCTTCCCTTCCCGTTAACTCTTCCCCGTTAATTGTCTTGTATTCCCTTCAACTGTCTTGTCTTCCCGTTAATTGTCTTGTCGTCCCGTTATTTGTCTTGTCATGTATTCCCGTGAATTGTCTTGCATTCCCTTTATCTGTTACTTTTCGACTCCAAGGCCCAAGTGGGTGCGTTCGCATACAGGAGGAGACGGAGGAGGAGGAGGAGGAGGAGGACGACGACGAGGAGAATCTCCGTATTCGCCCTCCATCTCCGGGTTCTGGGAGATCCAGGGAGGTCCCGAATTAACGGGAATGATCGTCCAGGCATTAGAGGGGAAAATTTCCTGGGAGGTCCCGGGAGGTGGGGCCTTGGGAAGTGGCGGCCCTCCCGGTAATTCGTTGTGATTGTTTTATTCAGTATCATTGTCGGGAAATTATCGGGAAGAGTTCCCGGGAGGTGGGGCCCCGGGAGGTCCCCGGGAGGTTCGTTAATTCTGGACGGTAATCCCCGAA